TAACATTTTAAAAGTATGAAGACTTATCGAACCTAATTATAAATAGATAGAATTGACCTCATTTTTTGTAAAGGGTTATGGGTCGCAAACATCTTTGAATCATTAGGACTACACTTTCAATATCTAAATCGTACTTATTTCTTATCGCAGTTCTAGCTCGTAATCTTCTGCCAACACATTCAATATCAATTCGTTCAATACAAGTAAGAAAATTATCCCAACAACCTTTAAATTGTCGTGTAGTGAACCAATCCAAACAACTTTTCGATCGGTTGTCCTGGTTGAGTGAATGTTTTCAATTGAAAGTGATAGTCCATTTGCCATATGTGGAGTGTCTTGCAAGGACCACAATGCTCCGAGTATGCAGTCAATGCATGATGAGACCGCACCTCTGCTTAATTAGCACAGCAAATAGCAAAATCTGTACTACTAAATTGGATACTAATGTTCAATATGGCACAAAAAAATTATAACTTGTCACGAATGTATGTTCTTGAAGATAATTCTAGCATAACCCCCCCCCCTTTTTTTTTTGTGAGCACTGCACCTCCAATTATTAATATTTTGGATTAAATTACTATTGTTTGGCATCCCATTATAACTTGATCTCAAAAAATTATAATTTTTCTGACTTTATTTGTGATTGTTGAATATAAGATCATGTCCATGAAAATGTGGTTTGGGTTTGACTGTATATCTGTTATATTCGGTTTAGTAAATTATTTACCTTTTGAAAAAGAAAAGAAAAGTATAATCACAAGTAGTACAATTTTTAAGCATCTTTAAAATTGAAAAAAAAAATTAATTTATATATATATATATATGATGTTGAGTGATCATTGGATAAAATTGAGTTAAAATCCAAACATAGTTTCATAAAATTCAGTTCAAATTGTGTCATTCACATTGTATTGGATTTTCAAAATGATTTTTTTTTATTTTTAATATATACAGATATAAACCTTGAAAAGACATGCATTGGATATTTGTACCGACTCATTTTGAATATTATCTGACCTGCCGTATCGGTTGTTAGGTGTACGAACACCTCCATCTAATATTAAACCTTGGTTTTAATTTAATGGTTACAATGAAATTATATCAAATTAGGGCCCAAAAAGAGACACTCCTACAAAATGTTCAACTCCCTCAATAATCAAATGTAGGACAACATTTGAATATATAGTTTGTAATTATTTTTGTATCTTACTAAATAAATAAAAAAAACACAATTTAAGGTCAAAATTTAAACTTGTAAAATTCATTTTAAAATGAGACTATTACAAATTGATCATAACCTTTTCAAGATTAGAATTGCATAATTTTTTTTTCAAAATCTGGCCATATAGAGTTTTAGTGACCTTTTCGATAACTCTTGATCCAAAATAGTTTAACTAAACAACATTTACATGTAAATTTCAACACGGTATCGACTATTTCAGAGATAACGTCAGTTATAGTTGGGCCCTAAAACTTTTAATTTTATTGTGCCTTTCTCCATCTTATTAAAAATATGGCTGTAAGAACTTTAGAAATTAGTCATTCTTATCCCCCAACAACCTTCAAGTTGTCTGCATTGAATGTATGGTTTTAAGGAATACTGGTGTGAATGAAAACTATTCCCGTTGAGACTTGGTCCTTTGTAATAATAATGATGTGATGTTGCATTTTGATATGTATCTTTCAAGAGGACATGCAATGAATTAATGATGAGACCTTCTTAGCCGGTGACTAAAGGACATGTAATGAACGAGGTCGGGAGAGTAGGGCCTCAAGAATGGTGCTCAATTGAGCATGGCTTCAGAGTGCATTTGAAAGAGATGAACGTGGTGTTTAGGTTTAATAACTAAGACTAAATGATGGTTGGTGGCAAGAATCGAGCATAAACAGAAGTTCAAATGGACTAGAGTTAGTGTGGATCTAGGTAGTTAAAATTTTTCCTACTAAATTTTAAGAGCGTTTATTTTATTGTGTTTGAATTTAAAAAAAAATTAAAATTAAATTGAAAGGACCAAAATGCCCCTCCCACCAAGCTCCTTAATGTGACAATACCTTAAGCCATAACTTCAAGAAGGAAGTGATATCTAACATCAATGTACTTGTATATTAGATTTTTATAGTCAATGTATTGTACTTTCACTATCACAAAACAGAATAGTCACCTCATCTTTCAAGCCTAAGCCACTTACAAAACCTCGCAACCAAATTACTCATGTAACTGCATCTGATATTGTTATGTATTTTGTCTCTAAGGGAGACTGTAGGATCGCCCCCTAACTTACGATCCACCCAAGAAGTCTAAAAATATAACTTGTCAAATATCTCATTTTATTTAGATCACTCACATAATCTGAATCAACAAAATAAAATATGATCACCTCTACTAAATAATTTCAGTCTTCATTACTACCTTAATGGCAACTACCAACTATATTTTGTGATAAATATGTTAGCTAGTCACCTCAGAGTTATTAATTCAGTATTAAATGCAATTTGCCACCGACCAGTTCAAACTTGACTATCATTTTGTCCATGATTAAGTGGCTCGTAGATGACTGGTTAATTATGCATTTTCATTTTTGGATATTTGTCTCATGCATCAAATTTGTTATGTCTTCACCAACTCAGGCAAGTTGGGTGGTTAAACTCTCAATCCTTGTTTAATCCGAACCCGACTTCCACTCAAATCACTAATCTCAAATATTGGTAATGTTAATTTTTTTGAACTCATGTTACATAATTCCATTGGAACTCAAGCTGAAACTCATGTTAACTATTAGGGTTGTCACTCTAGTCGAATTCAGGATTGAACTCAAGGTTACACGTAAATTTGATTCTCGAATTATATTACTTGGACGAAAATTTGGCCTCAATTTGGGTTTAACATGAGTTCACTAATTTAGAAACCACAAAATAAAATTAATTCCTTAAATTGGGTGTTTCGCCTCCTCGCCACACCAGTTTGAGGGGGTGAATTAGAGGTAGGAATTCCACTGATACAATGGTATAGATGGTAGTGAACCTTTTTATCATTTTAGAAATAATAATAATATTTATAACAAAAACGAAGAAAGATCCACCCCAAATGGGTCATAACAATGAAGGTCCCGATCTTTCTCTTCTCAAAGATGTGATCGGATTTTTTATCCTAATTTATCTTTTATTAGTGTTTGTTGTAATTAATATATAAAAAAGTATTTAAAATATTTTTTATGGCTAAAATGTAAGTGGATAGTAAAAAATTTACAATAGTAAAATAAAAATTATTTATAGTGAATAAAATATGTGCTATAATTAAAAAAAATGTGTGATTAAAATAAATACGTTGGTTAAAATTAAATTATAAAATTAGCCGTTACATCATAATTTGAATTGTAATTTTAAGTAATTTGGAGCTTGTATCATTAGTGAAAAAGAGTGAAAACATTGGAGACTCATCTGCAATTCACATGTGGGCAAAGACAGGTGGTGATCAGAACACGAATAGATTTCATTTATTATTGTGATTAGGGGTATCAAAGATTGGTTTATGGTTAAGAAGCCTCTTCACCCATTGTAATGTACTCTAAATAAACTATATTAATTATTATTTATTTATAATTTTTGATACAACATCTCTTTGGATGTCGTAATCAGGCCCATGGAAAAATAACTTCACTATCATGAAGAAATATTTGGGGTACTAAGGAAAGAAACATACTTGGCGATGGCTATTTTTTGTATTTTCATTCCATGGTTGAGTAAAGCTATTATAAATTAGTTGCTGATCTTCACCTAATTTGTCATCCAACATTTCAGCTGCATTGCACTCTTCACCCCCTCACAAAAACCTTAACAAATCTGCTGGTGTGAGGCAAGCTTTCCAATTAAATCAATTATTTCAGAAGACAAAGAAGCTACAACTCAGTAAGTTGTTGAATTATTTGAAAAATAAGTTGTACTTTGATTCCTCCAAAGTACTCTTTTAATTATAGTCATTAATTAATGGCAAACATTCGTGATAGCTTGAATGAAAAGTTTTGGCACTTTATTCTCCAAGTATATGAATTTTTTTCACTTTGCCCGTAAAATCTAACGGAACATGGGTATTTTCTGTCCAAAACATACTCGAGTGGGGCCCGACTATTCCATGGGATGGGGCTTAGCCAAGATCAAGCCTGGCCTATATCGAAAAATTTTCGACTAGGAGCCCTAGATGGCCCTTAACTAAAAGGTTACTTGTTTACATCTTTCTATTATTAGTCCTTGCGAGAAATTATGTTTGAGCTATTTGAACTATGTTTTGTCCCTCAACTAATGAGTTTCTCACATTATCTCCTCAACTACTTGATTAGTTTTGCATTGCCTCAAACTAAGCAGTCGTCTTGTTTGAACAAAAAATAGCAAAATGTCTAAATGTATAACAAAATACACGTTTCCAATTTCTACAACTTGGATAAAATGACACCCATAACCGTTATAAGATAGGCAATATGAAAAACGTGATATTGGAAGGAAAAAGGTAAAATTAATAATCATAGTGATAGATGTAATGTACAATGGTGGGCATTTTTTATTTGGGATTAGGGCTTTGTTAGAGAGAAAATTACTCCAGGTTGCCGTCTCATGTATAAAACAAAGTAAATGTCTTGTCATAAGTTCACTTTATAGAAATTAAACCTTCCTTCAAATGAAATGTTTTGCAAGTTTTTTTCTTTATTTTTTGCACTTCATATTTGTATGTGAAAAAAGAAGTGAAATATCTTTTGATGGACTCTCATATACTTCTTTGCCACTATTTATCTATCTGATAGGGAAATCAAATGTCTCAGCTGTCTATTTGCATCGACAAAAGGCTTGATTCCTTATCATCGAGATCCTTTAGGCCTTTTATCTTCAAAATAAATGACCATCTACGTAGAGAAAATGAGAAAGCTTATGAACCACAAATACTCGCCGTTGGTCCTTATCACCGTAACAAAGTTCACTTACAAATGATGGAAGAGCACAAACTACGGTACCTACAAGAGCTGCTTAAACGAAGAAGTGAGTCGAGTGTAAACAGATACGTGTTAGAGATGGACGAGTTGGAAGAGGAAGCACGCAAAAGTTATGCAGAACCCATTAAATTGGATAAGGATAAGTTTTTGGAAATGATGATACTTGATGGGTGCTTTATCATCGAATTATTTTGCAAGCTTGAAAACCAAAATTTGAGAGATGCAAATGACCCCATTTTCAATATTTCTGAGATTATGCAGAGCGCAAAACGTGATTTATTGTTATTTGAGAATCAACTTTCACTCTGTGTCCTTTTTCGGTTATATGATATGACCGAATATCCAGACCAACTGACCCCACTAATTCCCTTGGCCATCAACTTTTTAAATACAAACTTTTTAGGTTTGTCGTGCACCAAAATTCCAACAGACAACACCAATCATCTTCTAGGCCTTGTACATGAATCCTGGTGTTCTTCTGCAAAGGTGTCCTCCCGTCAGTCTCGTGGGATTGATACAAACCACAAAAAGGAAATGATTTCCTTAAAAAGTGTTACAGAGCTCCAAGAAGATGGGATTAAATTCGTTAAGGCTGAAAAAGAGGAATTTTTAGAAGGTGTTACAGAGCTCCGAGAACCATTGATTAAGGCTGAAGAAGAGGAATCACAGAGTTTCTCTTTTCTCGATATTAACTTTGAAAATGGCATCATGAGAATCCCTCCTCTTCAAATTGATGATGATATAGAGTGGCAATTAAGAAATCTGATTGCCTATGAGCAATACAATGGAGAAATTGCGAAAACTTATATGACCGACTACGCGTTTTTTATGGATCGCCTCCTCAATTCTCCCAAGGATGTCAAAATACTTCGCCACTCTAAAATTATTGAAAACTGGTTAGGTGATGATGAAGTTGTTTCTACCATGTTTAACAAAATAGCCAATCATGTTCAAGTCAATCCAAATTCTTTCTATTATGAGGAAGTTTTGAAGGAAGTTGAAGAGTATTGCAAGCATCCTTGTCATGGATGGATGGCCTATTTAAGATATAATTATTGCAACAATCCGTGGTCTATTCTTTCAGTGATTGCAGCTAGTATGTTGCTCGCACTCACTGTGATACAAACTGTATCTTCTATCTTACAATTCTGGTTTTAAGTCCAATTTGATTTACATGCCGACCCCCTCAGTCAATAATATTATGTGCAAACAAGTTGTATCAGTGTTCAGCCAACATGTTGTTTCGAAATTCTAAATTAGAATTTCTGATCAATTTGAATGTTTTTTAAGCCAGTGCAGTTTAGTTTAGTTTCTATGGAGTTGTAAACTAAGAACTTATATATGGAATTCAGTTGAGTATGTTATTTAACAGCTAGTCAAACAGAAGTTCGGCTAATTTTGTGCAGTGGGCTGCCGCAAATATTATTGTCTAATTATAATGGATCTCGATGTTCTTAATTTTTGTCAATTTTAATTGATTTCAATCATACTCTTTCAAATTCATGGGGCATAAAAATAGTCCCTAGTCATCCCACCGGTACCTGATACCTGATAGGATCTAATGAATTAACATATATGGTTGAACGCGATTGGAATTGGAAAAAAAATTATAGGTAAGAGAACCTTAAGTTTTTGTCAATGAACATGGGTCTTGATTCACTAAATTTTGGTTAACTTCAATAATGGGTCATTCCAAGTTCATTGGACCATAATCATGTCTCTCTATGGGTCTCACTTACACTTGGTCAGACTTAACGAATTCACGATGGATGAGTGATCACGAGTGAAATTGATAAAAATTATAGTTAAGAAAATCCAAATCCAACTAGTATTATGGAAACAACTATATAATAGTAATATCTTTTGAGGGACTCTTATGTACTTGGGTGTCAAACTTATAATTCGTTTGGAATTCATCGTAATATCTTTTGAGGGACTTTTATGTACTTCTTTGCCACAACTTATCTATTTGAAAGAGAAACCAAATGTCTCAACTGTCTATTGGCATCGACAGAAGGCTTGCTTCCTTATCATCGCCATCATTTGGGCCTTTTATCTTCAAAATAAAGGAACAATTAAAGCCTATGAGCCAGAAATACTCAGTGTTGGTCCTTATCACCGCGAAAAAGTTAACCTCCAAATGATGAAAAAGCACAAACTATTGTACCTGCATGAGCTGCTTAAACTAGGAAATGAGAGTGTGGATAGATACGTCGAAGCCATGGAAAACTTGGAGGAGGAAGCACAAAATTGTTAATGCATAACCCACTAAACTGAATAAGGATAAGTTTGTAGAAATGATGCTAGTAGATGGGTGTTTTATCATCGAGTTATTTCATAAGTTTAACAATCCAACCTTGAGAGATGCACACGACCCCATTTTCCAAATTCCTAAGATTCGGAAAAGGATACGACATGACTTACTATTATTTGAGAACCAAATTTCACTCTCTGTCCTCATCAAATTATTTGATATGACTGAAAATTCAAACCAAGGGAATCCACTAGACATCTTAGTTTGCTTGGCCCTCAATTTTTTTCATACAACCATTTCAAATTTTTCGTGTTCACAAACTTCCAACAATCAACCAACCACAATTCCAAAATATAACGACTACCAAGTTGTGTATATGATGTTCAGGTGTGTGAAATAGAGCATAGAAAGAAACTCCAAAAGTGAGAAGATATTGACGTAGAAATAATTTATGAGTAAGATGTATTTTACTTGTAATAGGTTTAATTATTAATGGGGTGGGTGAAGAATGGGGTGAGGTTAGTCTATAAATGGGGTGTAAATAGAAGGGGTGAACTTAATAGTATTATAATTGAGACTTTAATGGGATGAGAATAGCTCCACCCTTTAGTGTTTAACAAGCATAGCACATGGAATTTGTAAAGGTAATTTAATTGCTAAACAAGCCTAGCATACAGAATCTGCAAACCTTATCTAAGGGAAAAGTCAAATATTCACCAGAGTTCCTCCACTCCCCACATAAGATTCTAATATAGTAACTATACCCATGAGAAATATCAGTTTTTTGGGTAATCGAAAATTGTTCCAATCATGTTTTCTTTAAACTTATGGATATTGGCTAATAATGAAAATCTCGGGTGTATACCATTATCTGGCAAAAACTACCCTATTGACACTAATGAAAAAAAAACGGAATCTAACACAAGCGCCATACTATAACACTTTTGATATATTAGGAATAAAATGTGAAAAATTTAATTTTTGAATTCTTATAACTTGTGTGGTCAAATGGTTCATTTCCAAAAAGTTAGTAGTTTTCATCACCATATTTAACAAGAGTATTACATTAAGACCTAAAAATATAATGTAATTTTTGTATCTAATTATGTGTTAAGTGATACTATGTTCAAGTCCTAATTAAAAAATCTAGCAATAATACTTACAATAATGTTACTAGATCATGTTACAAACACATCACTAGATTAGTAAATTAGGTTAATTTTTTAGGTATAAATACTCCTGGACATCCAACAAACTACATGCAAGTCAAAAGCTTGACAAACGACAAGGTGCTGAGCTCAGGCCATCGAGTGAACATTTGTTTTTGTTAGCGTTGTTAATTGAATTGTATCGCTTGGTGTTATAATCGGATCTTGTTATTTCACATTTATGTTGAGTACTAATTAATCCTAATCTAATTTGCGACCTCTGATATTTTTGTCATGACTATATCATGGAAAAGATGTTGAAAAGAATAATTTCTGTAATCACACTTATATTTTAATCACAGTAATCTAACATTCACATGTCAACTGTAGTAAACATGTTAAATGTACTCACGTCTCAATCACATTTTGATATTTTAACCGTCTATATACTTTTTAAAAATTTCTACATTGTCCCTCCAGCTATTTGTTATTTCACATTGCCCCAAATACAAATGTTTGCTATCTTTTTGGGCAAAAATTGCCAATGTATTTGGGCAAAGTAAAAAAATCACTTAGATGGAGGGCGGCAAAATAAAATAATTTTTCATCAAATTTATAACAGACGCTAATAATTAGATCAATTCAAAATAATTCACATAATTAAAGGTGCAATATAAAAAATATACTAGTTGAGGAGATTACGTAAAAAAAAGTCATAATTAAGAAAGACAAAGGTCTGTGTTTGGACTTCTAGTTCTAGGCCAATCATGTCCCAAAAACAATGAAGCATACGATCTAGAAATAGTAGCAATTGGTCCTTATCAGTGCGGCAAAGTTAAGCTACAAATGATGGAAGAGCGTGTACATGCTACCTGGTGTTCTTCATTTGCTGCAATGGTGTCTTCGCCTCCTATTGATGCAAACCAAGGAAGGAAATGGAGTTTCATGAAAAGTGCCATAGAGGTTCGAGAATTGGGAATTAAATTTGTGAAGGCTACAAAAGGTTTCTCGTTGTTGGATATAAAATTTGCAAATGGAATCATGAAAATTCCTCCACTGAGAATTAGTAATAATACCAAGTGTTTCTTCAGAAATATGGTTGCATAAGAGCAATATAGAGGAAGAACCAAGCCAGTTTATGTGACCAACTACGTGATTTTTAGGGATCGCCTCATCAACTCCCAAAAGGATGTCAAAATATTATACAAAAATGAAGTTATTAATAACTAGTTTCGGGATGATAAAACGGTTTCTTCCATGTTTAACAAATTGGGCAATTATGTCATCCTAGATCCTAAAAACTTCTATTATTAGAAAGTTTTCGATTACGTTAACGAGCATTGTGGGCATTCTTGGCATACATGGATGGCCAATTTAAAGCACAACTATTTCAATAGCCCATGGTCTATCATTTTAGTCATTGGTGCTTTTGTGTTGCTGGTACTCATTGTAATACAAACTATATGCTCTATCTTACAAGTCTAGTGTTATGTCGAATTTGATTCAGATGCCCACCCCTCTGTCAGTAATAGAATGTTTAAAGTTGTAATGGTCATTCAGTCAGCTTGTTGTTTTACAAATGTTGAGTAGAATTCGTGATCAATTTGAACGTTTTTTTCCAAGCCATTGTATGGAGCAAACTTCCTGGTTGGTTTCTATGGAGTGGTAGACTAAGAACATAAAGGGAAAAATTACACCTTGATCCTCTCAACTATGACCCTGGTCTCATTTTGTCCCTAAACAGTTGAGTTTCTAATATTGTTTTCTCAACTACATGACTTGGTTTTTCATTATCCCAAAATCAAACGATCGTCAAGTTTTGAACAACAAATGCTCACGTGTGTTCAATGCCTAAAATTGTGGTAATGTAATTGACCTAAAAAATACAGTTGGAGGTGCAATGTGCATAGTGTGATAATTGAAAGGGCAAAGTGAGATCAATAATCTTAGTTGACGTGCAATGTAAGAAAAAGTGAAAGTTTAAAGTACAATGTAAAATAAGGAACATAGTAATGAGGGTCAAAGTATAATATGTGTTTAAAGGAGTAGAAAGACTGTGGTACCGCCTGCGTACCAAAAATTAGAATATTTGAAAGTTAAATTATAATTTTTTTGAGGTGTAAGATACAACTTTAAAAGGCATGATCAATTATGAAAGGATAGAATTGATACCAAAAGTTTATGATCGATCATAAGAGTTTGTGATCGTTTATAATATTCTCTTGAATAGTTGTAATTTTTCATTTCAAAATTTTAACATTACTATAAAAAATTTTTTGGTAAAGTAGACTTTCTCTTGAAGGAGAATATAAGAAAAAAAGTAGGTTTTTTTTGACTACATTGCATGAGACGATTCAGTGGGCCCAATAATGTAGTGCCTAACTAACATGGATCTTGACACTTTAGATTTATGTTAGATTTGATCATGTTTAATCGTACCAGTTTACCTTTTGGTGTGTGTGTTATTTAAGGAATTATGACATTTTTATTTTTTAAGTAGAAATGTTATAGTGTTCTTTGATTAAAAACAATTATACTGGCGTGTACGTGTTCCAGGGTGCATCCCATGTGGACTTAGCTGCATTCCTCTTAGGCCTGAGTATGATCGGAGAGGCCTTTGGGCCAAGGCGGTGATGGGCTGAGTCATTCCACATCGGAGTGTGTGTGTTATTTAAGGACCCATGACATTTTTATTTTTTAAGTAGGTTTTTTTGACAACATTGCATGAGACGATTCAGTGGGCCCAATAATGTAGTGCCTAACTAACATGGATCTTGACGCTTTAGATTTATGTTAGATTTGATCATGTTTAATTGTACCAGTTTACCATTTGGTGTGTGTTATTTAAGTTTACCATTTGGTGTGTGTTATTTAAGGAACTATGACATTTTTATTTTTTAAGTAGAAATGTTATAGTGTTCTTTGATTAAAAAAAATTGTACCTACGTGTACGTGTTCCGGGGTGCGTCCCATGTGGGCTCAGTTGCATTCCTCTGAGGCCTGATAATGATCGGAGAGGCCTTTGGGCCAAGGTGGTGATGGGCTGAGCCATTCCACATCAAAGTGTGTTATTTAAGGACCCATGATATTTTTATTTTTTAAGTAAGTTTTTTTGACTACATTGCATGAGATGATTCAGTGGGCCCAATAATGTAGTGCCTAACTAACATGGATCTTGACGCTTTAAATTTATGTTAGATTTGATCATGTTTAATCGTACCAGTTTATCTTTTGGTGTGTGTTATTTAAGGAACTATGGCATTTTTATTTTTTAAGTAGAAATGTTATATTGTTCTTTGATTAAAAAAAATTGTATCGGCGTTTACGTGTTTCGGGGTGCGTCCCATGTGGGCTCTGTTGCATTCCTCTGAGGCCTGAGTATGATCGGAGAGGCCTTTGGGCCAAGGTGGTGATGGGCTGGAGCCATTCCACATCGGATAATCTTCGAGTATGTGTGTGTTATTTAAAGACCTATGACATTTTTATTTTTTAAGTAAAAATATTGTAGTGTTCTCTGGTAAAAAAAAAAACCGTACCAATTTTAATATATAGGCCATAATCATGGGTTTTTGTGAGTCCCATTGAAACTAGTAGTACCTATTGAACAATAATTGAATGATTAAACTTGATAGATATTGACAAAAATTAACGGGTAACACAGATGGAGATCAACTATGATGTAGTAATATCTTATATAGTTTAGTACCCACTTACTTATCAGATCCCAACTGGATGGCACCATATCATGGAGAAAATTAAAAACAATTGACAACTCATCAATTCACCCACTCATTTGTAAATTAGCAGATTGAGTAACTTATTTATTCTTAAATATTTGAAGGTATTATCAATCAAAGTAGGGTTAATTGCATTAGAGGTCCTCAAACTATGGACTTTGTATTATTTTAGTCTCTAATATTTTAATTGTATCATTTTGGTCCTTGAAGTATTAAATATACTTTTATATGGTCCCTTAAGTAGACAATATCCAGATTATTAATAATTTTTTATTACAAACTTGTCACTTGATACTTAAATATGGATAAAAAAATAATTTTGATAACTCTTGACCAAATTTTTACTCAAATTTTGGTTAAATACCTACTTAAATTACATAATTTTGATCATGAGCTATTCAAATTTTGGTCAAAAGCTACACATATTACACATTTTTTTGTCAAAAGCTAGTCAAATTTTGTTTAAGAGTTATCAAAATTATTTTTTGTCCATATTTAACTATTACGTCACAAGTTTATGATAAAAAATCGTTAGCAATCTGGACGTTGTTTGCTTGAAGGACCATATAGAAACATATTCAATACTTCATGGACTAAAATGATGCAATTGAAACATTGAAGACCAAAATGAGACAAACCTCATACTTTGAGGACCTCTAATACAATTAATCCATCAAAGTAATTAAGATCGAGCAAAAAAAAAAAAAAAGAAAAACCAAAGTAATTAATCAAATTAAAACGGGTTAAAGCTCGTCTGATTAAACTTACTGTTAATCGTGGACCACCACACCAACCACCTTTTTTTCACTCAATCCATTATTACCTATTTATTAAGCCGGTGGAAAAGGAGTGAAAATTGAATAAAAATCAACTCCTTATTGGTATGTCCACAACAACCCTAATTCACCCATTGCCACCAGTACTCATAGGTGTCTCTAGAGAAGATGACATCTATTCAAACTGTTTAGAGCCAACGTTGAAAAGAACAACTAAACCAAAAGAAAGGCCAGAGATTAACAGAGTGCCAATGGATGGGGAAGAATTCGAGTCCTATTGCAAAACAAGAATGATATTTTGTGATGCATTGCGGGGCGGGGAAGACCCACCCACTACAAGAAATTTCTAAAATGTCGGCGAAAGTCTAAAAAATGCTAGTAAACAAGAACACAGGTGTTAAATCTCATGGCGTTTAAGAAAACGCCATAAAATATATACCGACGATTTTGCTGACAGAAAATAAACGCCAGCTGTGTTGGCTGGAAAAATTTTCGGCATTTACTTAAACGTTGGAAATTTTATTTTTAAAAAAAAATTATTATTAATACACGTACCCTGATATAATATTTTAGAGGAAAAAAAAAAAGTCATACTAGATTCAAGAAGCAAGCTGAACTTGATGAAGTGGAAGTAATACATACATACTCAGATCTAATGTTTGAAAAGATACACATAAGTATCTTGCACCTTAGCTGCGATCTCTGTCACAGCAGATTTTGCCTCTCATCCTGCTTTTCATCGCAAGCATTTATCGAATCTTGTTTCCTCCTTCAGCGCCATAATTGATATGCTCTTTCTCTGTTGGTAAACTCATCCGTCAGTTGGTATTCTCAGATCGAACAACAATGTAGGTATACTGAGTTGTAGAGAGACACACATATACGGACATTCTTTGGTTTCATCAGGCCATCTCGTAAAGCCCAAAAAGGCCATCACCTAATGAATTCGAGAAATGTTGTGGTGTTACTAAGTCCCACATGTTGCCTTGGAATCTGTTTGCCTGAGTCTTGTCTTGTGGAGGTTTTCAATTAGGACTTTTTTCAGCCTTTGGTGCTATCTTCTTAAATTAATACAAAAAAATTCATTGAAAACTTGGATAACACTTTGGATAATATTTGGAGAAGGAATTAATTGGTTAGATTTGTAATGGTATCGATGTATCATGGCTTATAGAAAAAAATTATATTTTCTGGGTCTTGAACTGGGATCCCTATATTTTGCTAGGTGAATGTGACACTGGTTCTTTTTCTGGCGGAAATTAGATGAAAATTGTATCGAAATTAAGGGGCAAACCATAATTTCTATTTCTCAAAGAAATACTGTAACATTTGGGACAGATCATTGCAAACAACGTGCCAATCAACATCCCTTCAGTAGTACTCTTGAAATTAGTTCAACAATGCAGGGATTTTTCGAAGCTCCTTGGAATGTATGTCATTTTGACTTGTTCATAACTATGTATGGGAGTTATAATTTCGTTTTGTGTGATGGTTGATGGCATGATGAAATGGATGTGTTTCTCTGGCTTATCGTATCAGGTTACTTTCCATCATGTTCTAAATTTTGTGGGTACGTGTTTCAGCTTAAATTCTTTTCTCGCTTGCTCTCTACTACAGGTATTTTGAAGCTTTCAATTTGTTATCATCATCCTTGTTTTCTTTTTTGGTTTTTGTACTTTCTGACTGATTGGTTCTACCAGTAACATTAAGACATACATTGATTCGTATGTGTATGTGGCTCTAGTAAGGATTTGGTTCTTGTTTTGTTCTTCACTCTTCTCTGGTGCTTTCGTGCGGGGATTTTTTTAATTTTGTTGTCTTTAATGGTTTTAAATTCTTTCTTCCATCCTTTATTAGGCATATAATGATTTTTGGTGCTTGTTTATTATTCTTTCTAGCCAGTGGCGGAGCCATAATATTAGAAAATTGTGGCCATATTAAAATTAATACATTGCTCCCTTTAACTTTTTGAGAATTGGCATGCTAGGCTTTGTTGAGTTCTACTGAGTAAATGTTAGATGCTCTGGTTAATATATTGACCAAAGACAATATTTCTGTTCTATTCATTATTTTGCCCCTACTTTTTAAAAGCAATTATATAGTTGGCTTTGCCTCTTTTTGTTTTTTTTGAAAAGTTAGAGGCCCACATTTGTGAGTCACATCTTGCCACGTTATTTTTCAGATTGTCCTGGAGAAAGTGGTGGCGCTGGGATAAAAGCAGAAAATGGGCTAGCTTTATTTGAAAAAAATACAAACTGATTTGTTGGGCATGGTCCTACCCGATTAAAGTTGGTGGTGAATGTAACCAAACGGCACCAAATATTCTTGGGTAAAATGCAAAAAATGTCCCTATATTAGGCTAATTTACACACGACCTCCTCGTCATGTAATGCGTTGCCATTCAACCTCCTTGAACTCATGATCAAAGTACAAAAATGGATATCCGTGATAGAATCTGTAAAAGTACAAAAATACCTTGACATTCAATCTTCAATGGAATGCCCTAGTTTGAGTTAGACCCTCTACCGTCTCTCTAACTCTTCCTCTTATTGTCATTCGTTTTCAATTTTCAATAGAATCATCTTGCTCTCATATATTTGAAGCCCCTAAAACCAGCATAACCACCCGTGGTGGTGCCCCAAATTACTACCACCTGAATCGATGTAACAAACCCAACAGAATCCCCAACCACCCCCACCGTGTAATATTTATCTACACTTTGGTATCGATCGGACCAGGTTTTGTGAGGGAGTTTTCAGATGGGTGGTTTTGGTCACACATACACACACAGAAATAGAGAAGAATGGTGGAGAATGTAAAATGAAGTGAATCAAGATGTATGTATGAATGTAAAAAATATAATACATTTTTATTATATTTCTAACACACAAGCATTTTTCGCTCTTCTAAGTAATCAATTTCTCAGCAAGATGGATGATAATTTCGACTAGGCTTCACAATAAAATGAATAATGATTTTGTCATGGACTCTTTAATTGAATGTCTTTGAATTAATATTTTTGAGCAATTTATTTTAAAACTAATAAGTACAAGCAATTTTTGGGAAGTGAAACAATTTCATGTTTTACTATAATATATGATTCGGTTGAAATGCTTGATTCCTCCGAGAATGAAACTTGGCTTCATCCTTGGCTATAGCACTAATTGAACAATTATTGGGTACCTTGTATTTGTACCTGGTATGCTTTTTTTCTTTTTTTTTTTTTTTCTATTTTGTGATACGCACAACATAACTATATGTCAAAATTAAGAAGCACGTACACTTCTTCAACACTCGGATGAGTATCCGATACTCTTTTTTAAATTTAGATGCATCCATGGTAAATAAAAATAAAAATGTAATCTTGGACACGTGCTAGATTTCTTCAGCGACCTGTCCAATACCCCTTAGGCCATGTTTGGGGCTAAAAAGGAAATCTTGTGGTGAACACTTCTTCGACACTAGCTAATATGTGATTGGCAAAGTTTAAGAATTCGATACATGATTATCTTGTGGTTGGGGTGTAGTTTCCTCTCTTCATTCTAACTCGCTACACCCCTCTCTTTCAGCCACCAATATTAAATTCATCAAGACAAAGCCAATTGATTTTTCTCCTATCTTCTAAGCCCTCCAATTGCCATGTTTGCATTTTCTTTGTCCTAATAAAGTTACTTGAGCATTTCGGCTGGTATCCTAGTTAATACTCGTATGACAGATATTGATTCATGCTAAACCTTTTGTGAGTAGTTTCATAGATTATTCTATTTTATTTTTATTTCCAGTTGAGAAATATAATAGCTTTTGACAAATTCTTGGGTATTTTTTGGTTGCTAGAGTTTACCAATTGGAAAAAAAAAAAAGCAACTTAGTGCACAAGGCTCCAGCCATTTTTTATGGAAAACAGATGTCGTCCTAGTTGACAATTTGCATTGATAGAGAGCTTGCTTCTTTATTAGCTATACCCTTTCAGCCTGATATCTTTAGGGTGGATGACATGATTGCAATTGGTCCTTATCACCACAATAAAGGTAGGCTACAAATGATGCAAGAGCATAAGTTACGGTATTTACAATTGATGCTTAAACGGAGAAATGAGTCAAGTGTAGGTAGATATGTCACAATATTGGAAGAATTAGAAGAAAAAGCACATAAATGTTATGCACTTTCTACTGAGCTCAAGAAAGATGAGTTTGTGCGAATGATGTTGCTTGACGGGTGCTTCAAGATCGAATTATTTCGAAAGTTTTTGAATGAAGAATTGAGAGATGCCAACGATCCTCTTTTTCAATTGACAAGGATCCAGTGCATTTTACATTAAGATTTATTGTTATTTGAAAATCAACTTCCATTTTTTGTCCTCCTTCGATTGTGTGACATGACCAAAGATCCAAACCAACGAGACATTCCAAGCCGAATAGACAACATATTCTACTTAGCCCTCATTTTTTCTGAGAGTTTACCAGATTTGATCTATTTACAACCTTCTGGATTTCCGACATATAATGTCAATCATCTTCTTGGCCTCGTACATGATACATGGTGTTCTTCATTTGCTGTAATGGTGTCTTCCCATGGAAAGTATGCAGACCAAGGAAGGAGATGGGAATTCATAAAATGTACGAAAGAACTGCTAGAGGCTGGATTAAATTTGAGAAGGCTACAGAATATTCCTCCTTGCTGGATATAAAGTTCAAAAATGGGATCTTGAAAATCCTGCCTTGGGTCATTTCTGACGAAACAGAGTCATTGCTTAGAAATCTGATTGCATACAAGCAGTACAATAGAGGAATTGAACCATTTTATTTGACCGGTTATGCCACATTTATTGATTGCCTCATTAACTCCCCGACGGTTGCTGAAAAACTTCGCCACTATGGAATTATTGATAATTGGTTAGGTGATGATAAAGCGGTTTCTACAATGTTCAACAAACAGGGCAATTATGTCACTGTAGATTCTACAACATTTTGTTACTTGAAAGTTTTCAAGAAAATTAATGTGCACTGCAAACGTCATCGGCACATATGGATGGCAAATTTAAGGCATAATTATTTCAACAGCCCGTGGTCTATCATTTCACTTAGCGGTGCTATTTTGTTGCTTCTGCTCACCATGGTCCAGACTATATGTTCTATTCTACAACTCTAACTCATTGTGAGGCTAATTTACTATGTTCACATACGTTGTATTGATCATGCTGTTTTAGATCTCTGATTCCAATTTGATTGACTTGTCCTGTTAAACATAAGTAGTATGTTCAAATAAAGTGTGTTGATTCTTATTATCTTTGAGAGAGAGAGGGAGAAGACAAGCACAACATTGCAACGTATGTGCAGGGACAAGAATGTATGAAGTTAGGTCAAATTTAGTGTATGTAGTCTATGGCACATGGTTGGGTGAAATGTGTGTGATGTTTCTTTAAGTGTAATTCTTTATTGCCATTGTACAACACATTTGAAAGGTGTTCAAGTTTAACCTAAAGCGAAAAATATTAAACTTTAATAGTTTGGTGTGTTACATAAAAAAAGGATTAAAGAACATTACACATATATCAATGTCAACTCAGCAAGTAAACATCTTCACCTTCACAAAAGCTGAGAATATGTGTGAAAATTTTGTGTTGAACAAGCATAGCATCCATAAATGCAAAGGGGGTTTAAGTGTTAAACAAGCTTAGCATACAGAATCTGCCAGCCATACTTAAGAGACAAAGTCAAATATTCACCCGAGTCCCTCCACTTCCACATAAGATTCCAATATATTGTACCCACAAAAAATAATATTTTTTTTGGTAACTGGTAATCGTTCCAATCATGAGTTCTTTAAACTCATAACTATAACAAAAATCTCGAATATACACAAAAATCCATAAATTTTTGTTTCATGTGACGATATATCACACTCCTTGTTCGACCACACATTGATCTGTATGGGTAGCGATGGAACTAGGATTCTATCACGATGGGGGTTGCACCAGAACAAAAGTAAGAATTTTATTCTATTGGATATATTTATACTTATACAAAATTTTTCAAAATTAATTCACATAAAATACCATTATTAAAATTAATTTGAGTAACGAAATTCATAAATCAGTTCTTACCATCATAGAAATGAACTAGTGATAATGTCATGAGCCGCTTATTTGTTCACTATGATACGATGTCATGACTTGACAAAAAATATTTTTATAAGTAATAGTTTTACACAATACGATAATAAAAGTGTTTCATAAGTCAAAACCTTACTTTTTATATAATTCACCTTTTTAATTTGATTTTGCAAAAAATTCACACTTTTTTTAATAAAAATTTTCTTTAGTCATTATACTTCTCCAATCAGTTATAAGAACGTCACTCATCCATAGATTGCATCATCTATTAGTCTATTAAATATCAATTCATTAGCATTTTGAATACAAGAAGTGGATTGTCTACATATAAAGTTTTTAAGTATCTGAGGGAAATCATAGAGTTTGTAAAATCTATGAGTTGGTACTCCCCTAGGCCCCTTCTTGGGTCCATCTACGGGATATCAAACAAATAGTGTCACTTTCACAAAAAACAACTTACTTTTTTTTTTTTTTTGTTCAACAGTCATAGATGTCCGGGTCAACTTACGTGCACCTCGATTAATCCCCTCTTCGGTCCGATCAAAGGTAAACCATTCACATCAGGACTAGAGTATTCATGAGGGATAAATCCCTCATAACCTGACTTCAATGAGTTACTAAGATTTAAACTCGAGACATCTGAATTTATAGTTTGTCTTTGTTACTATTTAAACTATCTTTTGGGGTTCTAAAGTAACAATACTAGGCTTGTGATAAGTAGTGTTATTGCTTTCACTTTTGTAAAAGAAAGCTTAGGGAGGGCCAGACAAGGATTACGTAATTATAGGAAATGAATCTAATCTACCTATAAATTAATGGCTGCTCACAACTTTCTTTGTCATCAACATTTTTTCAGTCCAAGTAAATCACTTATTTCAGAAGAAAAGCCGACGAACAAAAGAAGGAAGTTGAAAATCAGTAAGTGTTGTGTAATTTTATAAGCACTTGTTTTGATTATCTAAGTATTGTAATATAAGTGTGCATGTTTACTTCCATATACTTGGTGTAGTTTCCTTGTTTAACACAGTTCGATATTCTTACTTCTAATGAAAAATATAGTTCACTACTCGTTACATGGAATAAATATTTGTTACAACGGTAATATTACGTCGTCATCGGTGACACGTGCTATCATCAACTAATAAGAATATACCATATAAAGATAAGTGAACTCCACTATTCCAACGTGTTAGTTAGTCAGAGTGGTAGTTATTAAGAATTACTAAAATAGTGGAACACCCTGCATACACATGATATATTATCATTAGTTGGTGATACCATGTGTCGCTAATAACGTGTGATAACTGTTGCGAGCAACGTTATTTTTCAAACTTGTATGTAGTAACGTGTCCCAATTAGGAATTGCAAAACGTTTCTGTTTCCTTTTCAGCCATAAAGATATAAAAAAATATGATCCATTTACTCCTGAAATATTTTAAAATTGCACCTGTGTGGAAAACTAGTGAGGTTTTACACTTGAACTGGCAAAAAGAGACTTATTGAAATGATTTTAATAAATTTTAGGGTCAAATTGAAACAACTGAAAGTTTAAGAGTATATTAAAAACGGTATCATAGTTTAAAGGGTCATTTATAATATCCTTACAATTATTAAAAATGGCGTCTTAGAGTAAGTCTTTTTAATTTGCTTGTTTATTGTTGCAATAGGTGATGCCTATTTTTTTTTTTGTTAGAGGGCAATTACCATGTTACTTGTAAATGTTTGGTTATCAATATACAAGTCCTGCTTATGCCAAAAAATGCTCCTACATAAAATTCAAAATATTTAAATGTTCTTTGTTTCCTACAATTATTCAATTTCAAAATTTAAAACATTTTACTCGGTATATAAAACTGTTTAGGAATAATCTCTTTTCCTTTCCAACTATGTACCTACCTCCTTTCTTCCCCCACCATGCTTAAATTATTGAGTAAAAAGCCATTGAATTTTCACCCTAGTTGGTATTTCAATTTTTCATTTAAATCTTCACTCCTCCAAAAGTTCAATCGTTTCTGTAAATTTGAGCATCTTAACCTCGATGTTCTATGAGTGCTTCAGACTTTTAGTGTCTATATCTAAATTAAAAACATTACTTCAAAACTTAAGATATATTTTGATGTGTTGTGGCCTCCTATCCTAAGTTTCGACTTCTTTGTCCACCATGTCCCTTTTGTGCATCCACTTTTTTAAGAAAACAAAGTAAAACATTTCACCTTAAAAAACATTCAACTATTAGCTCATTTCATATAATTAAAACCTTGTTTTATGTGTAATCTTTTGTAGGCTGTTTCACTGTTTTTGCACATTTATTTTAGTTTGTGGCACAAGTAAGATATATTATCTTGATAAATGCTTAGATAATTCTTTGCTTTCAAAGGAAAACGGATCGATGTTTCAGCATCGATCAAAAGATTGCTTCTCTATCATCCCCATCCTTTGACCCTTATATCTTCAAAGTAAATGATCACCTACGCATGGAAAACAAGAAGGCTTACGAACCAGAAATGCTCGCAATTGGTCCTTATCACTGTTGTAAAAGTAACCTACAAATGATGGAAAAACACAAACTATGGTACCTAAAAGGGTTGCTTAAACGAAAAAATGAGTCGAGTGATGGATACGTCGTAGAAATGCACGGATTGGAAGAGACTACACGTAACTGTTATGCAGAATCCATTAAACTAAAAAAGGATAAGTTTGTTGAAATGATGTTACTTGACGCGTTGTTTATCATCGAGATATTTCGACAGTTCAGTTATGGACAAGTTGGAGATACACACGACGGTATTTTTGAAAATTTTCAGATTTGGAATGCTATATTGCGTGATTTACTGTTATTTGAAAATCAATTTCCTTTTATATCCTTGTCAAGTTATTTGACATGGCAAAAGATTCAAACCAACAAAGCGCACCAGACAACATAGTTGACTTAGCCCTCTCCTCTTTCGGTAAATTGGTTCCATAGTTTGGAAATTTTCCTCCTTCCAAGATTCCACCAAATAAAGTGGATCATCTTCTAGGCCTCTTACATGACACCTGGTGTTCCTCATTTGCTGAAATTGTGTTCTCTCCTGGGAATATTTATGCAAGCCAAGCAAGTAAATGGAGGGTCATAAAATGTGCCACGGAGCTTCAAGAAGCTGGGATTAAATTCGAGAAGGCTACAGAAAGTTCCTCTTTGTTTGATATAAAGTTCAAAAATGGAATCATGAGAATTCATCCATTGCAAATAGATGATGATACAGAGTGATTCTTCATAAACATGGTTGTATAGGAGCAATATAAACAAGGAACCAATGCACGTTATGTGACTTTTATAGATTGCCTCCTCGATTCCCCAATGGATGTCAAAATACTTCGTGATTGTGGAGTTATTGATAACGGCTTGGGTGATGATAGAGCCGTCTCTAACATGTTCATCAAAATGACTAATCATGTCAACGTATGTGCTGCAAGGTTTTGTTACTCGAAAGTTTTCAATCGTGTTAACGAGTACTGTGGACATCCTTGGCGTACATGGATGGCTAATTTAAAGCACAATTATTTCAACAACCCGTGGTCTATCATTTCAATCATCAGTGCTTTTTTGTTGTTGGTACTCACTGTGATACAAACTATTTATTCTATCTTACATGGCTAGCTTTAAGTCCGATTTGATTTGCATTACATGGGCACGACCCCCACGGTCAATAAATATTATGTTAGAATAAGTTGTACTGATCCTTCTGTCAAGCTGTTGTTTCGCAAATGTTTTGCAGAATTTGTGATCAATTTGAATGTCTTTTAAGCCATTGGTTGGAGCAAACTTTAAGGTTGGTGTTTTATGGAGTTGTAACTTAAAAACAATATATTTAGAATTGAGTTGAGTATGCTATTTAACAGTCAAATGGAAGTTCTGATAATTTTGTATGACTTAGATTTGGTTAGTTGTGCATCCTGTGCTATGAGCAAAAACCACTTATTTTTAACAATAATAGTATTAAGATATAATTTATTAACCTAATAATCGAGCACAATCATTTGATAGGTACTGAGTTCCAATCAACAGTAGAATTCACAATCAATTCAATAGTACTAATTGATTAGGTCAGCAAAGTAACTCAGTAATTTATGTCGAAATAACATTACCTGGCCCACTAGCATTTCTCAGTGGTGGGCCACACATATTATTACCTATCATGATGTATCTCGATCCTCTTAATTTTGTCAATTTGACCAATTTCAATCATGCCCTTTTAAGTTCGGTGGATCCTAAAAATTGCCTCTATACTTGTCCCGTGAAAGGACCTAAAATGAATCAACATGGATTGTTGAACCAATTCAAATTGGAAAACATTTAGTGTTAAGGGAACCGCTTTTTTTTTTTGGTCAATGAACATGGGTCTTGATTCTCAAAATTTTGGTCAAGTTAAATAATGTGTTCTTTTACAATGCTTTTAAATGCCATACGAGTCTAGCCTAAAAGAGACATATTATACGTTAACAATCGGGGATGTTGCGAAAATGAAATTAAAGAATTCTATGCGTATACCCATGTCAACTCTGTAGATCCAACACGTAGTAAACATCTTCACTCTCACAAAAGGTAAGATATTGCACGAGGGAATTTATTGCTAAAAAAATCTTCATGTGAGCTCCTCCTCTTCCACATTAGATTCCAAAACAATTTTTCATATGAAAAACATATCTTCACTTTCACAAAAGCAACATATGTGGCTTTGTGATAGTTACTAGGCTTACTTACACTTTCGGAAAAGAAATGCATCTCACCTTCTATAAATACATGGCTCCACTTCACTTACTTCCATAAATATTTTAGAAGACAAAGCGGACGAGAAAAATAAGGAAGTTGAAAATCGGTATGTTGTACAGTTTTATGACCATTTATTTTGATTGTCTAAATCTTGAAATACAACAAGGTCTATTTTTCTTCTTTTGGAGCGGAGGTGTAGTTAAGTGTGCATTTTTTTTCGAAAAGTAAATAAAGTTAAGTGCATATTTGTTTCCATACAACATGGGAGGTATGAGTTCGACTATTGCAATTTCCATGATTGATGTAATTTGATACTCTTACATCTAAGGAATGAGAAATTTTGAAGTGTTAATGGCATTTGCCAATTAAAAGATCAAAAAAAAAATTCTTTGCTCCCTCAAAGAGAAATAGACTCGGATCGACTCATTAATTTTGCACAAGTGTAAGTCTAAAAAACTTTTTTTTTTCGTCCTGAAAGATCTAATAATTGTACATTATCCCTTGAAAAATTTAAAAACTGCACTCTACCTCATAAAAAATGGATTGTCTCAGGTTACATGCGTGGTATATTGGACGTTAATAGACGAAAAATGAGATGTCGTTTGCTAATTGGAACAATTGTCTCAGCTATCCACTCGCATCGACAAAAAGCTTGCTTATTTTTCCATGTCCACCCTTTGGCCCTTATATCTTCAAATTAAATGACCAACAACGCTGGGAAAATAAGAATGTCTTTGAACTAAAAAAAAATTACCAGCATTTATATAAACGTCAAGAATAGAAACTCCAGTCACAAGAGAACACTGACGTTTGATTTTTTGCCGGAATAAATGCCAGATTACATTTACCGGCATTTATAGACTTCGCTGGCATTTATATGGATTTTGCCGGCATTTATAAACGTCGGCTATTCCAAAATTTCTTGCAATATAGTGATAAATATGTCAGCTATTCACCTCAGAATTATTAAATCAATATTAAATGGAACCACCATTCGGTTCGAAATTGACTATCATTATATCTGAGATTAAGTTGGTGCTAGATTGTTTGGGCTTAATCACTGCATTTCCTTTTGGGATATTTGTTTCATGCATCAAATGGGTTATCTCTTCACCAAACCAGGGGTGCCAATTCAGTGCTAGTTATAAAACTCTCGGCCCGAGTTTAATCTGAACCCAACCCTACTCAAACCATTGTACTCGAGTACTAGTAATGATAATATTTTTGAATTCGGATTACTTCAATTGTGTTGAAACCCGGGTTATACAATTTGGACCGTAATTTGAATTAAATTCAGACTCAAGTCAAAGTGAAACTTAAATTTGATTCTTAGGTTACACAACTCGGACAATATTTAGATTCAACTTGGGTTTAACTTTGATTCACTAATTTAAGTCGGGCTTGGGAATCCAATACTCCAACCTAGTGGTGTCTGGAATTAAAATGGTTTGAGTTTTTTATACCCAAACCTAACTTATGTATTGAAAATTTTGAGTTGGGATTAGATTGAGTTCTGGGTACCCGTATCACCAACCACAAACCAAAACTAGTTCCCTTGGATCAAGTAACTATCACGTCATTAAACCAGTAAATTAGGTCAATTTTTGATGTCTTAATATTATTATTTATTTTTGATTATAATTACAAATAAATAAATCAATCAAAATATTTATCATAATCAAAATATAAGTACGATTAAAATATTTTACTGTAATTAAAATTTAAATATAATTAAAATAATTACATTAATTAAAATGTTTATTGTAGTAAATATTACACGATTAAGTGTTAAATCGTAATTATAAATATATGAGTTGTTGTTGGATCACAATTCTAACTGATTTAAGTCATTATTACTGTGCTTTTATCTCTTGGAGAAGAATACAGCACCAAAAACAATTACGGTAACGTGTCTTCAAATTTCATAAGTTTATGAATTTATTTACACCAAAAAAAATGTACAACTTTTTGGATCGTGCAAAAACTTTTAAAGTTAGAGTTATTATTTTTTTTCACCAAGGTATTATTTTTGTGATAATTTATTATCGATCCTTAACATTTTTAGGTTGGATTGCAAGTTATCACAAAAAGTTACAAATGACCTGCAAAATTTAAACGAAAACACATAAAGTTTATAATGTCAATACGGGAATTGTGTAATTGTAAGATCCCGTATTAGAATTAGATAAGACTAATATCATCTTAAGATTTTTCCTAGGATGAATAAAAAATTATAGAAACCTCAAATCGTTGTTAAAAGATTTATCATGAAGTTTGAATTTTGGGCAAATTGACTTTCGAGTCAAACTTAATTTAGAAGGTGTTTAAATTTGAAATTGGTGGCTAAGTAATTTTGTAAATATTTTTAGGTCAAAATAAGGTTTTCAATGAATTCAGAAGGTTGGAAGAGGTTATATGAGATATATATTAGAAATATTCTGAAGTTAAGACCTATTTTTGAGAGGATTTGGGTACAAAAGAATTTGACACTATCTTAGTCATAACTTTTTAATCTGAATTCTGTTTGAGTTGATTTTGAGATAGTAGAAACTAGACTTCAAGGGCTATAAAAGTGTATTTCATGAAACTTTCTTGAATCAGCTTGTAAATAGGTCAAAATTGAGCTGGAAGTCGGGGGTATGCTATAAGATGCGTCCGAATGGAAGAAACATGAGTCCGGACGCACCAGGTAGAAGTTGGACAATCTGTGTTGCGATTTTCTCCACTTTTGGCATTATAAATGTCTAAGGAACGACCCTTAGGCCTATGTTTAGTAATTGTTCATCCAAGAAAACCCTAAAAAGCTTGAGAGAAAGAAAGAGAGGAAGAAAGGGAGGAGACACAGAGAGGATTCTCACTTTGGGATTAATTCAAACACGCTAGGGATATCTTCAAACATTGGATTAAAGTAGGGTTTCTTCCTAAACTTGTTCATTGAGACTTGGATTAATATATGTTTTGATTCTAAATCATATGTATATATTATGAAATCATTATTTCTTGCAAATCGTATTATGTCTTGAATGAGGTTGTTGTTTGATAGCCACAAAACTCTTTTCTTTGATATCAAAACCCTAATTTTTAAGAAATATAGAATTTACCCTTGATGTTCCAATGTTCTTGATTTAAAAACTCTAGTATTTTGTTGGAACAATAATATTATATTTCTTGATGATCTCTTGCATATTTTCTTAAGTTGTTCTGTTGAAAAAATACATGTGGAATTATGGTTCTTAGTTTATCTGTGATTTAGTGAATTAGTTTAGTATTATATCTCTTGTGTATATGTTTTGATGAACATGGGTGACTGTTGACTGGGTATCGTAGAGTAGGTAGATGCGTTTCTTACTCTAAGTGGGTTTGAAGGTTTCATACCACTCGTAGTAGGGTTGGTGTATTGTGAGGACCAAATCGATATTCGCTCACAAGTATCGAGGCTAAGGGTTAGTATACGATTCCTAGGTTAGATTCGTCACTGTCGATGCGTCAGTATACGT